CTTCTCCTCAGAACTGCTTTCCAGTGGGTCCACCCCTAACCTGTATTGGTCCATAGGGTTCTTCCTCCCCAGGTGCAGGACTTTACACTTCCCTCAGTTGAACCTCATTAAGTTCTTCTCTGCCCAGTACTCAAGCCTTTCCAGGTCATGCTGGATGGCAGCACAGCCCTCTGGAGCATCAGCCACCCCTCCTAGTTTGGTATCATCAGTAAACTTGCTGAGGATACGCTCTGTCACCTCCTCCAGGACATTGAAGAATATGTTGAGCAAGACCAGGCCAAGAATTGACCCCTGAGGGACTCCACTAGTTACAGGCCTTGAATTCAACCCTGCTTCTTTAATCACAACCTTCTGAGTTCTGTCACACAGCCAGCTCCCAATCCACCACTCTGTCCACTGATGTAGCTCACATTTCTTCAGTTTTCTAGTGAGGATGCCGTGGGAGACAGTGTCAAAAGGCTTGCTGAAGTCAAGCTAGATGAAAACTGCTGCTCTCCCTTCATCCAGCCAACCAGTTATGGCATCATAAAGGGTTGCAGATTAGTGAAGCATGATTTACCCTTGGTAAATCCATGTTGACCATTCCCAGTAACTTCCTGTTCCTCAACATGTTTAGAGACGACACCCAGAATGAGTCGCTCCATCTCCTTCCCAGGGACAGAGTTGAGACTAACTGACCTGTAGTTCCCTGGGTCCTTCTTCCTACCCTTTTTGAAGACTGGAGTGATACTGCCCTTCCTCCGGTCCTCAGGCACCTCCTGTTCTCCATGACCTTTCAAGATGATGCAGAGTGGCCTAGCAATAACATCTGCCAGCTCTCTCAGCAGTCATGGGCACATCCCATCAGGGCCCACAGACTTATGGATGTCCAGTTTGGCCAAGTGGCCTCTAACCTGGTCCTCCTCTACTGAGGGAAAGTCTTCCTCTCTCCAGACCTTTCCTCTTGCCTCCAGGGTCTGGAATTCATGAGGAACAGCTTTAGCAGTGAAAACTGAAGCAAAGAAGGCATTCAGTAGCTCCACCTTCTCTGTGTCTTCCACCACTAGGGCAACCACCTCATTCACCAGCGGGCCTATGTTTTCCCTGATCTTCCTTTTTCTGTTGATATACTGAAAAAAACTCATCTTGTTGTCTTTAACCACAGTGGCCAAGTTGAGTTCTGCTTGAGCTTTGACCCTTCAAGTTTTCCCCATGCATAGCTTCACTACATCTTGGTATTCCTCATAAGTTGCCAACCCCCTTTTCCAAGGGCCGTAGACTTTCCTTTTGTTTCTGAGGTCCAGACAAAGCTTTCTATTTATCCAGACTGGTCTTCTTCCCCATTAGCTCATCTTTTGGGTCCTGGGGGTGGCCTTCTCCTGTGCTTTTAAGAGTTCCTTCTTGAAGTATGACCAGCCTTCCTGGGCTCCTTTGCCCTTCAAGACTGCCTACCACAGGACACTCTCAACCATGCTCTGAAAAAGGCTGAAGTCTGCCCTTCAGAAGTCCAAGTGACAGTTCTGTGTATAATAATAATCTCCAATATATACCTATATGCACATATTTGTTATACATCATAAAAGAAGGCTCATTCTCCTAAAAATTCTAGATCATCTGATGTCTGGATAGGGTGAGAGAGGAAGGGGAAGATGTATCATTATTCTTACTAGAGTACTCACCTAAAGGGACTCTGGACTTCAAGAATCCACAGAGCTAGACTGTGTCTGAGAGATGGCCCACTGAAAAAACTGACCTCTCATAAACTGCACTGAAAACACATGGAAGAAAATCCATTCTGGGCCAGAGCGGCTGAACAGATGTAGGAGTTGCTGTCATCACAGTAGACAGGAAATTATAGCCATAGTAGCAGAAAGCTGAGTCTCCTTTGTGGGTCCACTAGTAACTGAGATCTGCCACCAAATGAGTTACAGAGATCAGCCACTTGAGCAGCTATTAAGAACCACTAGGTTAATAATGGCTTATAGAACATAAGCAGTATGTGGTGAACTGAAAACCTCCACTCACATACTTTGCAAGCTCTGATACACTCTAGCTGAGATAACGTCATTAAAAGAAGTGCCTAATCAGAGAATATAGAGTCAATCCTTGCAGCCTGTGGATTGGGAGCAGAAATCAGGTGTTCCCATGCCAGCATCACTTCAGAGCTATAAAAAAGGAAATTTCTTCCCTTGGAGTTCCTAAATATCAGTGTGGAATTTCTTAGTTGG